TACACTAACGAGACGTTTAAGCGGTTCGTTTAACTATTATACGTGATGTACGTTTTTTTGGGGGTGGTTAATGAAAGTGTTCCAAAACGCGACATTACTTTTTTGACAACCTAGAAGTAACATTAGTGGTAACTTATTATTGCTGTAATATAGAAAACTTAACTGTTTTGAGTGATGTACTTACAATATGCTGTAAGTCTTGTGTGAAGCAAATGGTTATGCTGCAAAACTGACATGTTCTCATCTAGGTTGTTTATGTATATTAATTTGCAACTGCGGTCGCCTGATGAGGTCATATGTGATACTGAGTGTTATATTTGGCATAGTTGGAGTCTCTCTACATCACTGCTATATGATCATCATTATTCCGTGAAAATTAAGGAGCAGTGTGAAATGTGATTGTTGGGCGTTCTATACGCAAATAGTAATAATATTGAACTTTTTTTTAATGACCTGTTTGTTTACAATTTCATTTATTTTTTTGGCAGGAGAAAAAGACGAAATTTTAGTAAACAAGCCACAGAGATCCTGAACGAATATTTTTATTCACACCTGAGTAATCCATATCCCAGTGAAGAGGCCAAAGAGGAACTAGCTAGAAAGTGTGGGATTACTATGTCTCAGGTAAACTCTTACATGATTCAGTATATCAGTGAGTTTATTTGGAGTTTTAAGTTTTCTACTTTTGTGTTGCTAACGGAAACAAAAAGTCAGTCAAATATTAATACTTAGATATTGGTGACGTTACCTGGGACTTGGGAATTACAACTAATTCTCCTCCAAACAGTATGATTTAGACGCGAACCAAAAGTAGTGTAAAAGGAAACCTTATTAGGGTCCGCAAAGTATACGGATAATGAAATTTATTGGATATTTTCAATCACATCTGGCGGTGTAAAATATTGGAACCGTATCCTAATTTCAAAGGACCACAGCATGAATTGGTTATGATGTCCCGAGGCGAGAGCTGCTATCATATGTTACTACTATAATGACACCTTAGATTTTATATACGCAGAATTTCTTAAAACCGACTATCGATAATCATGTAGAGATCCAGCATCGTAGACAGCTTTTGCAGATACAAATTTTGCTACTTTTATCTATTATTATATTAAAAATATATGCGACAATGACATCTGTGTAAAGAATTTCTTAAAACCGACTATCGACAGTCATGTAGAGATCCAGTATACTAGACAGCTTCAGCAGATACAAATTTTGCTATTTTTATCTGTTATTATATTAAAAATATATGCGACAATGACATCTGTTTAAAGAAAAATCACGATAGAGAACAAATAAAGAGAGAAAAGAAAAGTAGAATTCCCGTCACACCAAACATGCTCGCCCTTTCAGCCGTGGGGTCGTAATAATGTGACGGTTAATCCCACTATTCGTTGGTAAAAGAGTAGCCCAAGAGTTGGCGGTGGGTGGTGATGACTAGCTGCCTTCCCTCTAGTCTTACACTGTTAAATTAGGGATGGTTAGCACAGATAGCCCTCGTGTAGCTTTGCGTGAAATTAAAACAAACAAACTAATATTTTGGTCTGTAATTAATGAAGAATGCCGCATGCTCTGGTAACAAAGTTTCATGTTAAACTGTACAAAAGTTTGTTATTTCACATATTAAGCCCGTACGTTTTACTTGTGTATTTTGACTCTTTCAGAAAAAATTTGTTTCATGTCTTACCCTCTAAACTTTCATTGTACTGAGTTTTAAGCAATTGTAATCTGTGGGAAAACGTGGATTATTATTATCTTTTCTATGTATTTGGATTCAAACTTTGTTGTTGTTGTTTTGGATAACTTCTAGTTATTTTGTTTTTAAACATTCAAAGAATTGACTTTTTATGTGCCTAAAGTTAGTTGATAAATAAAAATCTCTAATGTAAAAAGCGTTAATAGTTTGATTCACATTTTTCGTATCGTTATGAGATTTTGTTTGTATTTTTTGTTAGATTTCTAATTGGTTTGGTAACAAGCGGATACGTTACAAGAAGAACATAGGAAAGGCACAGGAGGAAGCCAATATGTACGCGGCCAAGAAAGCCGGTAGGCAGTTACATTCTCACTACCTGTCCTTGTTTATGGAAGTAAAGTAATTCTGTAGACGTTTTCGAGTTTTGGTTAAAAATAGTAATATTCACCTTTTCATTGCACATTTATTTGTTTACCCATTTTTCTCAATAAGCAAGCATGTTTTAACACGTTAAAAAAGCTTACTTACAATAATCAAAATGTGCATTTTTTGTCATTTTATGTTTCTAAATATCAGCTTAAAGTCCTCAAAATCAATTATTCATGCTAATTTGATACAGTTCTGATCACCATAATACAGTTCTGGTCGTTATAATTCAGATGTAACTCCTCAGTATACATCAGGGTTTATGGACAAGGTGAGCAGACTGTTAATAATGATAGTATATGAACATGCTTTTCTAATCTTACACTACTAAAAAGGTACGGCTAGCGCAGACAGCCCCCTCGTGTAGCTTTGCGTCAAATACAAAACAAACAAACAATTTACATTCACTTAACTTACCTACACGTGAATGTATTCAGTTGTCACAATACAGCGTCTTCCTGTGCCCATTGCAATAGTTCTAATTTTCTAAACTTTTTATACAGATCTCAGCCAGGCGTGGCCTGATAATTAGCGTGCCCGGACTATGAATCCCAGAGGCCATGGTTCACATTCAGTTGTCGCAAAAACGCACTCCGCATTTGTAGGCCGTTGGTACTCTATAAGAGTGATAGTCAAATCCCACTATTCGGGCAGACAAGAGTAGCCCATAAATTGGCTGTATAGGTGTTGTCTACAACTGTCTTCACTGTAGTATATCACTTTAAAATTAGGGTAGCTATGTGAAGATATCCCTCGTGAAGCTTTGCGCAAAACTTCTAAAATAAGTAATCTTTTAAGATAAAGATTATTTAAGTCTCGGTAAAAATTTGTATTGTTTGTGCTTAGAAAGCGTAATATCTTAAATTACAGTTTAAAAATTTTCTGTTTTATATTACGTAACTTCAACGTTTATAATATATCTTTATAAAGCCTTTTTAGATATTGGCCAATTTTGATATTTCCATAAACCTCGATATCGTTTGAACAGCTGAATATCTAACAGCGATGGCAAACTCAGTGTTCACTTTACAGTTTTACATCATTTTTATTAAGAGAACCATAAAAAAATGTTTGTATGTTAATGTGCAGAATTTCATGTCATGTAACCCAGAAGTTGTTTTTTTTTTAACGTTCGTGAGGATTGTGGCAGGTGCTCCAAAGCATAAATGTTCTTCCACAAGGATAAACCTGTAATTATATTGATTAAAACTGTATAATCTCCAGCTTTTATATCGGGACCAAACAAAAGAATCGTTATGACGTTAATTTCCTAGTTTTGTTGAAGTGGAGAGGAAGCATTAAAAGAAATGATTACATGGTTCTGACGTTGTCTAACTACTGATTAAATAAGTTATGTTAGTCAGGCAACCAGTTCTGAAAGTTGGAAAGGTTTAATCTTTGGTTTACTGTAAATTTTATTGGTATTTGCTGTAGTTGTATTATCTTTAGTTATTTCGAAAAAGAAGAAGAAAAAACTCTTACCATTTTACAAGACCTCGTAATCGGCACGAGGGTATGGCTGAAGTACATTGGGTGTTTACTTAAATTATAAAATATTATTATTGATCTAAAAAACTCACCTTTAGGGTGCTCTTATTGCTAAATCCATATCAAATAGTTTGTTATACCTGTTTCTATAAGAAAATCGAAAATGTTTTGTAACGATATACTAAAACCGTTCTATTTAGGTCTCGGCAGTTTTCCACTCGTTCTGGCATCTCTGGTTTCCATATTATATAAAGTCGTTTATCAAACCGTCACAGATTCCCAAAGGATGGCTGTGTAATTGCACTTAGTGAGATGAACGGAAGAGAAATAATTCTTTAATTATTCTCTGGTACAGATGAGTCAATTCAGCCAACCAAATGTTTTGGCATATAGCGTAACGAATTGACAGGTACTTTGGAAACTTTAATTATTCTCTGGTACAGACGAGTCAATTCAACCAACCAAATGTTTGGTATATAGTGTAACGAATTGACAGGTACTTTGGAAGACTTTAACTATTCTCTGGTATAGATGAGTCAATTCAGCCAACCAAATGTTTTGGTATATAGCATAACGAATTGACAGGTACATTGGAAACTTTAATTATTCTCTGGTACAGATGAATTCAATTCAGCCAACCAAATATTTTGGTATATAGCGTAGCGAATTGACAGGTACTTTGGAGACTTTAATTATTCTCTGGTACAGATGAATTAATTCAGCCAACCAAATGTTTTGGTATATAGCGTAAGACAGGAATTGACAGGTACTTTGGAAACTTTAATTATTCTCTGGTACAGATGAGTCAATTCAGCCAACCAAATGTTTTGGTATATAGCGTAACGAATTGACAGGTACTTTGGAAACGAATAAGTAAACTAAGAAAACGATCATATAAGTATTTCAATGAAAGTCACACAATTTGTAGGAGATTTATTCTATCTCAGAGTTAAAAAAAGAAATTATATAAATTCAAATATAAACTTTTTTTTTCGTTAACATGAATTTTTTAGATTCGATTGCTTGTTTGTTTGTTTGTAATTAAGCACAAAGCTACACAATGGGCTATGTGTGCTCTGCCCACCACGGGTATCGAAACCTGGATTCTAGCGTTGTAAGTCCGCAGACATACCGCTGTGCCACTGGGAGGCTTTAGATTCGAATATATAAAGAGTGAAAATTCGCTCCATTGATAAATCTTCTCTTATTCGTAATACAAACACACAGAAAGGACAAATAAATGTGGAAGATTTTTTTCAGTAATGCAATCGAAACCCGGCGCCAAGTATGTTCGTCTTTTCAGCCGTGTGGGCGTTATAATGTTATGGTCAATCCCATTATTCGTTGGGGAAAAGAGTAGCCCGAGATTTGGCGGTGGATGCTATCAGGTAATTGCTTTCTCTCTGGTCAGCAGCTCAAAATTTGGGACGGCGGCAGACAACCTTAGTAGGTTTACCATAAACAAACAAAACTTGTGATACATGTATATAGAAAGATTAAATTCACGAATTAAGTTTGTTGTAATTAAGCACAAAGCTACACAATGGGCTATCTGTGCTCTGCCCACCACGGGTTATCGAAAACCGATTTTTAGCGTTGTAGGTCCGAAGACACACCGCTGCTTCACTGGAGTTTCGAATAAAATCGGAACGCTTCTTCACACTCTGTATAAATATGTACATCCAAGATTTGTACAATATCAAGTGTGTTACTTTGAAGTTCCATTTCATAATACATCCCAAAAGCCAGTGATGATCATACTAAAGTTTACAGTACACATAAGTTAGTTAAAAACAAAACAAATCGGTACCATGACAAACACACGAAGTCTGTTCATGGTAAATCATGGAACTTCTGCGTTGTTTCGTGGTCAGTATTATATTATATGTGATTGTATTTTTGTTTAAGTTCAACAATGAAAAATTATTTAGGATACAAAAATTGTCAGAACAAAAAATAAAGTCGTTTATTTTCACTTTATTATTATTTCATTCTGTAATACAAAGTCCTGAAATCTGCCAATTTCTTTTGAGAATGACACATTAGGGTTTGCAGTTTTTACATTATGCTTACCCACCCACCCTACTAATTTCTTACCGATTTAGCGTAAAACACCTTCATCTTGCCGGTCATGCTAAATACAAAGTACAGTGATTTACGCTAATATGATTACATCCTTGGTGGTGTGGACAAGCCTGGTTTCTTCACCTTACAGAAACCCCATTATTAACTGCTTCATGCACAGAATGCTCACGTCGTGACTGTTTGGGGGCGGAAGAAAATATGTAATATCTGGATCCTTCAAAAAAAGGGGTGTAACATCTTCACGAATTCTAGCCACACACATACATCTCTGAATACACGACCCATGCGTAGAATCAAACAAAACAATGGACGAAAACCTTATGGACCTTCTGAAAGGATAAATGATCGTCAGAGTATCAGATCATTTAAATAGGAGATGAAATGTCGGCGCTTGGTTAGAAAATATCTCTAGGCTCCAATATTTAAAAAGTTAAAATGATGGATGGATTGTTTTTAAAAGTAGTGGCTGCATTCTTAGGCCGTCCTTAAGTATGTAACTTTGGGTGTGTGTATATATAACTCTTCGAGTCGGATAAACAGCGGTAGAAAAAGAATTGAAAGTTTTCTTTAAGGAGGGGGGGGGGGAGTAATAGTATTTTGCGCTGTTTTAAATTTAACAAAATTTAAAAAAAAAGTGTGAATACCCGTAAGCTTAACAGTTAATCAATATGGTTAGTTTTAAACTACTTATGTACTATTTACAGACGGACAAACTTTGTGAAACCGTTTTCAGCATTAGAGAGGAATCACTTTTACGATGTCTGAGAAAAATAAATATGATAATCAGAGCAACCAAACATACTTAAACATTGGGACGCTAACAGAAGGCCCCCAGTAGCCCAGCGGTAAGTCTGAAGGCTTATAACGCTAGAAACCTGATTTCGATACCAGTCGTGGGCACAGCACAGATAGCCCTTTGTGTAGCTTTGTGCTTAACTACAAATAAACAAACAAAAGAGCACTAACAGAAGTTAGAATTATAATAATGCCATTCATCGAGTAAATGTTGGATTGTACATACGGTTAGACACATGTAGGTTTTTCTATAAGTTTATTCTTCTAACAGCGTTAAGAACTACATTTCAATATTGTTTGACATTGCGTAAGCAGTATTATGCCACCAAAAATTGATTCCTTTCCGACGCAAAATATTCTTACACTTATATTATAAAGATGTGTTCAGTTTGGGGATTTATAATTTCTAAAATAGTGGATATCCCTTGTACTTAATGACATTTAAAAACAGAGGAATTTGGATCAATTTGGAGAAGCAAGACCATTAAGAAAGAGACTTGCGAAAAGTCATATCCCAGCCGTGGTAAACGAAGTCCAGTATCTTCTAGCAGATGAGAAT